TGTGTAATGAGGTTAGGACACAGCAGGGGGTGTGTATGAGGTTAGGACACAGCAGGGGGTGTGTAATGAGGTTAGGACACAGCAGGGGTGTGTAATGAGGTTAGGACACAGCAGGGGTGTGTATGGGTTAGGACACAGCAGGGGTGTGTAATGAGGTTGGGACACAGCAGGGGTGTAGTGAGGTTGGGACACAGCAGGGGGTGTGTAATGAGGTTAGGACACAGTAGGGGGTGTGTAATGAGGTTAGGACACAGCAGGGGTGTGTAATGAGGTTAGGACACAGGGGGTGTGTAATGAGTTTGGACACAGCAGGGGTGTGTAATGGGGTTAGGACACAGCAGGGGGGTGTAATGAGGTTAGGACACTGCAGGGGTGTGTGAGGTTAGGACAGGGGTGTGTATGAGGTTAGGACACTGCAGGGGTGTGTAATGAAGACAGGAGAATGCAGGAAGCGCGTACTAAGATGTACTATGGGTGTTGCGGCAGGTAATGTGGAGGTGTGTAAGAGGAAGGAGGAGAGGAGGAGGTAAGGGAGAGGAGGAGGAAGGAGAGGAGGAGGGTCAGGAGGGTGAGTCAGGTGGTCAGGACAGGTGTAATAATATTGTAGGGGTGAGGGCAGGGGCGGGTTACCTCTTCCCACCCTTACTATCCTCAAACCCTCCCTCCCCCCAGTCCTACCCACCTCTCCCTCCCAGGCACCTCCTTCGTTTATCAGCCACTAGTGTCTCATGTCCACCCTCCTTGATATGATCCTTCCATTGTAGGGCACAACATCCTATCAACCACACACACACACACACACACACACACTGCTCCAGACACCGCGCTCTTCACCTCACCACCTTACTACACCTCACTGTCTCCTACACCACCTTACTACACCTCACTCTCTCTACCACCACCACCAGACGGGTCACAAGGACCTCGGGAAGCCTCAGATACTACTTATCAGCGTGAGAGGACAAGAGGGGAGTGCATGAAGGAGGAGGAGCCATTATTTTGAGTTCCTCCGGCGGGCAGTAATTGAGGGACGGACTGGGAAGAGGTGGGAGGGAATGACACAGGTGACCAACGAAAAAACAGAAACAATTAGTCAGTCAGTTTGGAACGCCCAGTAAGAGCGGGTGGTGGTTCCCTCTGGTGGTGTGAAAGCTACCGTACAGCCTCGGGTAGTCAAGAGCCAATAATACTGTCAATCAGCGTTACCTAAATCCCAGGACTATGGTATGTGTCACGCCCCACCTCTCCTATTAGTGACATCCCTTTTCTTAAGAGCAAGTCCGTTGCCGGAGATGGGAATGGTGCCAAGGTGTGTGTGTGTCACCCGGTCCCCAGGAGTGACCCACGTGGGGCCTTGAGACTGTCTCACTCACCAGTGGCACCAAAAATAACGTTATGATATTGTGGTGCTGCCTCGACCTTCTCCCCCTCGGCCTCACCTTCCACCTCTCACCTCACTCCTACACCCCCACTAGCACCTACTGTACATTAATCCCCTTCCCTTGAGAGGACCACCCAGGTCTTCACTGCCGAGGCCGATCACCATATGATACAATACATCGTGGTGGTGGTGTATACATTATGGTTGCTCCTGTTACTATTACTACGACTATTGTTGCTGCTGCTGCTGCTGCTGCTGCTGCTGCTGCTGCTGCTGCTGCTACTACTACTACTTGTCGTAATTTCATCAGCAGGTGGTCGACCATACCACTACCACTACCACGGTCGCACACATCACCTGTGACTACTGTTTGAGGCCCACAGTGACCTCCACAAAACACTCAACAAAACCCGGATATAAAGTGTGTTTCTAGTATGTTGTCTTCGGGGAGTCCTGAGCAGAGGAAGGGACACGTCCCTTAGGAGGCGGTGAGGAGAGAGGTGGCGACGAGCACCCTGTAGAAGTGCTGCTCACACCCCACCACACCTACACACTTAACTGAGGACAAACGTTTATGAAAACAAACAGACAGACAGACAAATATCTCTCTCTCTCTCTCTCTCTCTCTCTCTCTCTCTCTCTCTCTCTCTCCCCCCCTGAGTGCGTGGAAACACAAGACACACACACACACTCTCACTCTCCCTGGGTGCGTGGCGTCAGAGTGGCACCCAACACCAGCACCCTCCATCACCAGTGTCGCCAGCCAGACCAGCTTCCCACCACACACACACACACACACACACACACACACACACACACACACACACACACACACACACACACACACACACACACACACACACACACACACACACACACACACACACACACACACACACACACACACACACACACACACACACACACACACACACACACACACACACACACACACACACACACACACACACACACACACACACACACACACACACACACACACACACACACACACACACACACACACACACACACACACACACACACACACACACACACACACACACACACACACACACACACACACACACACACACACACACACACACACACACACACACACACACACACACACACACACACACACACACACACACACACACACACACACACACACACACACACACACACACACACACACACACACACA